TCAAAGTATTTCAGGGAACTAGTCAGTCCCCTGTTTTTGAGGATTTCCTATTTATGAGAAGGATTGTATTAATATTGCGCACATTTAAGCAAACTATAACTGTTTAGAAACCGATTGCTGTACATTTTAAAAAAAGCTAGTTTAAACTTTAAAGATAATTTACTTTTAACACGATAAAAGGCTATTTTGTAAAAGGTTTAATCAAATTATAAAGTAAAACCTTAAGGTTTCTTGTTCATGAAGAGCTGAGACTTCTTAAATATTTATTAACATATTGAAAGCTTTTTGAAGTTAAAGTACTTAGTTCCATGCTAAATAAGACTGATGAATTTAAATATTTTTTTTACCATAAAAAGATATCTGAAGAAAAATTTAAAGCTTATTGTTTATGTTACTTTTTGGAGATTATTTTTTCTAAACAAATAAAATTCCATCAATATTACAGAGTTGGACGCTAGCTAAAAAATTACAGCAAAAATGAAAGGGATGTATATTGTATATGTTCTTGAAAAATTAATTCTTCCGCTTAACATGAAGAGTTCAGAATGTTTGGGAAACTAAGGAACTAAATGATTATAAGGGAATTAAAAATATGTTGGGGAAAAGTAAAAAAAAAGATTTTAAAAAACTTGCCTTTTGATGTCAAATATTTTTTACTTTTTCTTCCCTACTTCATTACAAATCAAACCTACTGGGGTATGTAGTTCATAAAATTATAGAGCCCTGAAACAGATCATATGAAATATTCAAAACCCTTAATGGAATTTTTTATTACTTTCATATTTATCTCTAAACTTGGAAACATTATTTCTAATTAGTTAGACCAAGCAACAACCTTCAGAATAAGGAAAAATATTTTTTGAAACAATTTTCGTTTTTAACTTCATGAATTCTTGTGTTGATGTTAGATATTGACAGTCTTTTGAAGTTTAAAATTTATACAAAATATACTCTTTTTACAATTTTAAAAAAGAATTTAAGTAAAGATAAATGCAAAATTGTACAAATCCAGTTTTACTTTAATATTTTTGAATTCTTGGGGCTCCTGGATCCCCCCTTTTTCCCTAGGAGAATTCCAGGGCTCCATAAACCCTGATTTACCCCCCTCAAGGGGAAATCATCTCTATATATATATATATATATATAAATTGATCTGTACAGAGTGCACAGCATACAACAGAAACTGGACTCCCTTTGTTTACAAACACAGACTTAAAATTTGTATTTAACTTAAATATAAATTAACGTAAATTAAGATTTCAGAAGTGAATTTTAGCNAATGATAATAATGATAATAATGATAATAATGATAATAATGATAATAATGATAATAATGATAATAATGATAATAATGATAATAATGATAATAATGATAACAATGTTAACAATGTTAACAATGAAAGCAATGTATAATTATAATAGTAAACGCATTATTAATTAAGGTGATGATGCCAATGGCTGGACTTGCATTTGATGATCCTACTTCTAAATGGTTTACACTACAAGACAGGGTAATCTTTTTACTACTTTTTGCCTTCATATTTTTGTTTGTTTCTTAAGTATTTTTTTACGTTTGAATTTTGTTTATTCCTGAAGTAGAAATAGAAGAAAGACAATTTGATAATATTTTTCAGACCTTAATCGTTTTTGGTTTATCTTAATACTGATTTTAATTCAAAATGAGATTAAAAGTGTAAATATTCAGTTAAGACCTGTTCATGAAAATGTGAGATCGAAACTTTTAAATTCGATATTCAAAGCAAAAAATTTAAGCGGTTAAATGCTTAATCCTTAAAAAAACCTAATCTAATTTTTACCTATCCCTCATTGGGCAAGAGCGGATTAAAGATGCATAAGTTTAGACCCTTTATTTAACCAAATTAATTTAAATCAACTGTACCTTCATCATATTGATTTTGTCATTAATCTTCATATTTTATAAATATTTTAGACCGAACCTCCGGAGGAAGAAGTCTTAAACACAAAGGGTAATATCATCCTTGCTCTCAAATATGTCCCAGCAGAACCCTCAAGGAAAAAAACATTAACAGAAAAATTATCATTTTCTAAGATTCCTACTGTTCCTTTTTTTGTGCAAGCGTTTTTCTCGTATTTTAGGGGTCAAGGAGTATAAAGAAGTTGTTGTTTAATTATTTATTTTAATTATTTTTGTTCTTGAGAAAACAGAGAATATAATCTAGTCTTCAGTTTTTATTTTAAAGAGACATAAATTCTACTTACTCCTAGTTTGCCTTGCATGTATTTTTCCAACCTAAAGAAGATTCAAGAATATTCAATTTACATATTTTAAAGTTCAATTCAAGGCGTGGAATAATTATTCCCAGGGAAACCTTAGAGAATACAGTTGTTCATTTTTTTTTCTCGGAAGAGCAAATGCTTCAAAAAATAAAATTGCGTCTTATTTTCAAATTTCCAAATCTTGATTTTGTTTGGCGCCTTTTGTCATTATTTTCTAGCGTGGGACATTTTATTTTTCTTACCATTGGCACATTATAATATCCTTTTATTGTTTTTTTTTGTGTTTTTTTGTGCCATTCTTGCCATCCAAGTCTATTGCCACAACTTGTTCTTGTTTATACCGGTTGTTTAAAGACGTAATTTGACAAGACCCTGCTCTTTTAGAGTGGCATGTCTAATTTACAGCGGTTTTGACTTCTGTCAATATCCTCCATGTTTCTGAAGGAGAAAGTCACTTATGGTGACAAACCAGATTGGAAAATAATCAATTTTTAACTAGACAATGAAGAAAATCTTATTCAGTCTAAGTCCCATAGGATTTAAAGGTACTCTTGTCAATCGGATATGGTAGTCCCCTCTTAAATTAGCTGGTTCCATAAAATTACAACTTTAAACCGCCATTTTTCATTTTTTTACCGCCATTTTCATTTCTTTTTACCGCCATTGTACCTTTTTCCGCCATTTTTTTATTTTTTACCGCCATCTTTCATTTCTTTATACCGCCATTTTTCATTTCTTTTTACCGCCATTTTGTTTTGCCTCGTGTTTCTTGAAAATGTTTGATTGTGCGCAGGAAAGACCGGAAACGGAAAGGGACCCTAATGCTGCTCGTGAAGGAAGCGAAAAATATTCCTCTATCAAGGGGGAACACGCTCCCAGACCCGTATTGTAAATGGTAAGCTGACCCTTTTAAATTACTAACCAAATCCCAGAGCAATGCATTCTAAAGCTTGAACATAAACAATAATATTTTAATAATCGTAATATTACATAAATGTTATTTAATTATTTTAATCCCCATCAAGATATCTCAAAATGCTTGTGCTAACAGAAAGCTGCTGCTTCTTTGGCAATATTGAGATTCGTTGATGTTTTTCTTCAATCCTTCAAATCAACGTTCTCAACTTTGATATATCCTTGAAAATACATTTGTACTCTAAATCAAGAAGATTTTACTAAAAGTGCTTTAACTTTCATATTTTAGGGATGAAACTTTAAAAATTAAAAAATTGTTTTAATGGTTATTAATTTCCAATTTGATAACCCTACATTGACAAACGTATCATATGATGATTATAGTTCAGCAAATAAAGTTGAAAAGATCTCGGGTTTCCCTACAATCTCAAACTTCGAGTCAAACACCTTTTTAAAGTCTAAACTACACAACCAAGGTTAATTGGAATTTTCTTAAATAAGGCTTTACAAGAACTTATTGTTTCTTATATCATAGTTAGCCTACCACAGATGACAGAACTAAATTGCCAAGCCATCAAACCTAAAATTGCTCCAAATGCACAGTGAACAGTCTTCGGACTTTTTTCTGTCCTCTAACATCAAAGAATAAATTTTACCGCTTTTTTACAAACATTACCGATCTATGATTCCCCAAACAGAGGGAGGTTAGATTACTTAACGTCCCTTGGGACAATTAAGTAAAATAACAATCCGCTCTGCGAAGTTTTCCGGAAAAAATTCGCGAATTTTCAAAGGACGATAAAATTGTGTACAACTACTTTTTCGGGAAATTAAAAATTTTAGATAATTGATAAAAAAAAATTTTGAATATTTTATATTTTTTTTAATCTAAAGATAAAAATGGAAATACACTTAAAATTTAAATGAAAGGAGTCATAGGATAAATCCAAATTCGTTGAATCGATTTGTACTATTTTTATCAGATGCTTATAAAAAAAAACTTGTTTTATACCATTTCTGTAGACTTAAAACATTGTATGTAAAATAACAAATTAAAACTAAACCCATTTCTTAAGTATTTGAACCATGATTTGTTTGAAGGTATTTTGTCTAAAACACAAGCTTTAAATTTGAGTTCAAAGAAAATGTTAAATCGTTTTAAAACCGCAAATATGTTACCATTAAAAAAACTAACTTTTTCAAGCATTTAATTTATCCCTTATCCCCATTCATTTTCATGAACACACTTTTTGTGCTGAAACTGAAATTAGTTGTTGCTGGGGTTCAAAATATTAAATTAAGAGGAGAACTGGAGTAAAGTTAATAAGGAAAATATGCTTGCCCTTAATTTGTGTATTTGAATTCTACATAATGATGGTTGACTGTCCAATATTTTACTTTAATTATATCTTGTTTAGGATTCTTCAATCTATATATTTTTTGATTTGATATCAAAGTTTCATTTTTCACTTTTTTCCCTTCTGCTGTAAACTGATGCATCAAGCATGAAGTGATTTTATTCAAAATTTTTTTTTATTTAGAAGTTGCCATTTAAAAAAATTTTATATGATCACGGCTCATCAACCTGATTTTGAATTTTTACACAACTCACATTTCATTGAATTTGTTAAATGATTGCTTTTGGTACACTAGGAATAATGAATTTTAAACCCCCCTGCCTTTTTGTGCTTTTATTAACGCTATCCTGATACTTTAATATTAATAGTTTATGGACTTCTTAATTTATCAGTTTTTGAATAAAACAAAAATGTACTTCTAAATAGATCAAACTGAAACTGTAACATTATCTGAGATTACTGATTGTCAATCCAGTTAAAAATGGCAGAGTTATGGTCGCTAGAAAACCTCTAGAAGATTGTACAAATTGAACCTAGAAGTCTAGTAATGGTTTCTAAATATTCCACTTTTGGATGGAGGAGAGGGGAGAAATCTTCTTCTTGCTGCTACAGGAGAGGATATTGGAGAAGAATTAACAAAATTTCAATAAATCTCAAACTGAAAATACTTATGAATTCTAAACCCAAAGACATTTACATTATTTAGTACAAGGCATAGAGAATTAATTCCATCTTGTATCTTAGGAATTGTTATGGTTTGATTAACTTGCAAATTTTGTGCAGATCTTTTTTTGGATAAATTTTCATAGATCGAAAAAATAGAACTTCCACTGATAAAGAGTTCAACATTTTATTTATACCTCCATCCTGGAAAATGGATCCCCGGGGACCATGTTCCAAGAAAAGAAGAAAATGTTTCCAATTTTCTGGAAAAGAAAATCTACTTACTGACAAAAAATGTGTCATGATTTCATTTCACAAGATTCTAATAATCCTTAATGAAGGATTAAGATACTGTGGAGAAAACTGTGTCCTTGTTGGCCTTTTCAGGAACACATTTATTTAGCATTCATGTAAAAATGAATAATCAGTCAGAAAAAAATTGATTTAAATTATCTTGATTTGAGTTTGATCAAGGATACCAAGGATAACAAGAAAAATGGGAAACCTTACTTTATTTTAAGAAGTACCAAATCAGATATCATACTTTTAATTGAAAAATGTGTTAAAGAAAGGAGAAGACATGGCTCCTTTAACAGAAAATGATGGATCCAATACTCCTGTTAGGGAAATAGTCTTTTTATCATCTTAGTCTAGAAAATAAATAACTTTAAAGTTAAATAGATTATTTAAAGTAGTTAAAAAAAGGAGAATTTACATCTATAAAGTGCCATGTGGGATTCACAATGGTAGTCTTTAAATCCATGTCTAAGGAGATATCCATGTTTATTGTAAAACTTATTAAAAAAGCATTATTTTCATTTTCAAATAAAGATTTGTCTTCAAATTATTAATCAGAGAAAGGTTTTAAGTGTACCATTGTGAATGGTTAAAGGAATGTCACTCGGAATTACAATGTCAGTCCCTTTAAGGGAAATGAGGACAGGGGTAACGTTTAAAAGAAAAGGCAATTGTACTTCATTTTTAATTGATTTGTTACAAAAATCAAAAACTTCAAAAGAAAGAACATCAAATAATAGTCTGAAGCCTCTCTCTTGTTTCCAGGAATTCTTTTAATTTTTCATATCTTTACAAAGTAGAGTTTTTCAACTACTATTCCTGTGAGATAGTTTTTAACCCTTGTCTAATTTTCTGCTTACTATTGGTTCTTCACTGAGCTTGTCAAAAGTTTGCAGAATTTTAAAACATCCAGAGCCATATGTTAGAACCATATGTTTATTCCAATTCAAATTAACACATTTAATACATTTTCAATTAATACTGGAGAAGTGTAAAAAGTAATTTTGAGAGTAGATACCGCCGATCCAACAGGAGAACTAGTTCCCAGCCATATCTACAATCAATAAATAATTATAATCCTGTTCCGAATATCACGCTGTAAGGATAATGAATTTAAAACTAATTTGAAGGAAGGATCACTGTTTTATAAAAATAATTGACCCTCTATATTTGCTTTCTTTACAAACTCTGTGATCTTGCCTTAAACTTATCATTCAAGATTTACCTTTTTCGAAATATTTGTTTTAAAATTTCATTGTTAGTGATCGTTGGGATACTATTGTAAGCGATCAAGAGGATTCTGAAAATGGTTTAAACCATCAGGGATTATTTCAAACTACAACTTAGAAGTTATAAAACTTAAAACTTTGAACTTGTATTCTTTTCTATAGAAAAAGAAGAAAATACTTTGAAATATGTTTCCAGAGACCTTTATCCAGAATTTGTTCCCCAAGACCAAGCATTGATCTTGGATCCTACAGGAAGGGGGAAATTGAAATTCTAAAGTGAAAAAGATAAATTATTTTATCCGGATTATTTTCTTTTTCCAGCTACATTTCAGATGGGATTTCTTTGTCGCCAAGCCATAAAAATCACGATTGGCAAAATTCTACATTGATTGTTTCAAAATAAGGAGAAAATTGATATAGGATTCTAAAAAAATTTTATTTTGTAATAATCCCAATTGACATATTAAATTTGTTCCTACCAGACTAGAAGCGGAGCGGAGGAAAAGTTTATCCCCTGAACCTCCTAAACGTAGAAGAAGTTTAGCTCCTTCATATTTCTTTAGGAGAAGATCTAAAGGTGGCTGAGGAGTTAAGACCCCACTTATTGAATCAATTATATCTTGTTAATGGCTAAAATATAAACCCCACTCAGGTGTTATCATGCAGTTCAATTTCAAATAATGAATATCCTTTTAAATTCTTCTTTGCTTTCACAAAATCTTTGGGACTGGATCCATTCCCTGGGGGAAAGTTGATGTGCTGAGCGACATTTTTCAGAAAATAACATGAAATTTATTTTATTATTATTGTTTCTGTGTGAAATGGAATAATGTCGGATTTCTTACAAAATGGTGCTTTCCAAGCTCATTTCTGGAATGAATTTTTCCTAACTGTTAATTTCTGACAATACATGATAGTCTTAAATTAGGTTAGCCTCATTAGGTTAAGTCAGGATTTAGCATGAGCACTGCAGCTAAGCAAAGTCTTCTGGTGTATGGAATGTGGTCTAAAACTTATTTTGTATTTTGTTGAAAATAATAAAGAATAAACAAAGAAATATAAGTTAATTATGGCCTATATTTGTGGAGTGTACAAACTACATTAGTATTTGTAATTACAGATTAGCACTGATTAACGAAAGCTAATAATTAACAGAGACCAGACTTAGACACAGGGATTCAAGAATTCCTCTTTTTTGAGGGTGAAAATTATGCTTTAGGTGTAGCCTTAAAAATTTAACAGTGCTTTTTATTTTTATTTTTTTTGTTTGTGAAGAGAATTTTAAAATTCTGGTTTGCACTTTCTTTCCCAACACAACATTAAAGAGTTTTTAACTCTTTTGGAATTTTAAAGCTTGACCAACTTTTTAAAAATGTTTAATCTGTTGCTTTAAAACTAATTTCTTCAGAATTCTTTTAGAATAATAAACCATTGTCAAAAATAATTGTTTATTTATTAGGTATTCAGGTATTCATTTATTGTTTTTAATATACATTTATTGTTAGAAAACATGTTTCTACATAATTAATACTTAGTACACTAAATAAAAAAATGGTGTATATAGTGAAAGTACATAAATTTAATAAGACATATCAGTAGACTTATTAATTAAGCTCTCTTAAAAGTCAAGGATTCTTAAAATTTAATCTAGAATTCTCATATAAATTGTCTTGTGCAACTATTTGATAATAACATTCATATTTTGTAGATGATGCCGATATCTCAAGCAAGTCAGGAACACCCTCACCTATGGTCTCTCGGGGAGGAGGTTCCAGCGCCTGCGACCTAACTGATCTCAGAGACTTCCCTCGCAGTGTGAGGGAAGGAAGTGCCCCTCGAAGTGTGAGAGAGGGAAGTGCCCCACGTAGTGTGAGAGAAGGGAGTGTTCCTCGCAGTGTGAGGGAGGGAAGTACAGGAAGTAACGATACCGTAGACGGTGAAGATGAAAAATTTAAATCAAGCACTTTAGGAAATAGGTAATGATTGCTAAACTTCTCTTCGGGTTTATTTTCAAATCTTTTCAAAATCATTTCTCTTGAGACTGCAAATATTAAGGATATTTTATCCACCGTTCTTCCTAGGTCTTCCTTTATTTTATTTTGGAAATTATTAACAACAACAACAAAAATGTGGTTTAAAATTTATACAGAAATATTTTTCTTAACTCAATAGTTGACTTAAATTCATAATTTTTTATAACAAACTAAAATTAAAATTTGTTCACAACAACCATTAAAATATTTTATACTATATATTTTCAGGTCTGAATCTCTTGCCAGTATTTATAGCCAGGGAGAGGGAAGGTAGGATTATACATTTTCAATATTTCTATTTATTTTCTTCAAAGCTTAGTATATTTGTTACGTCTTTTGATTCAAAATTTCAATTTTATTTTTGTAGTTATCACACTTTAAACAATAGGAAAAATTAAATTTTTACCATTTACCAAATTTAAAATTGTTTTAACACTTTTATAAAAAAATTAACAATTTCAAAAATTAAATTTCAAATTTTATAATTTTTAAGATTTGTCTACCATAAATCCAATAAGGAAATAAAATGGTTAAAGTTGGAGAATTTATGCAGTTTAAAGGGATTATTCACAAATGTTTACCCCTTTAAAATTGGGTAAACCCTCCCTTTAATGTGAATATTTTTCTGTTAACCTGTGGTATTGCTAGGTACGGTACAGTGAGTGTACATGGAGATATTGAGTTTGGGTTTATGTACAACCTGAGTTCTGGCTCCCTGGATATCAGTATTAAACAGTGTAGAGATCTAGCAGCTGTGGATACTAAACGTAACAGATCAGACCCGTGAGTATAGAAATATGTACAACTTAATCAATATGTTCATTAATTTTTAACACCTAAACACGATCATATTTCTTTCTTCATTTAGTAAATTCGTCTTGAGGTTGATACGTCCCTAACACTGTATTTGGTTAATTCATTGATTGATTGAAAATATCCTAATCTTAACAAAATTTCCATGTCATTGAGAACTTAAAAAGAAACAATGAAAATATCAAATGTAGAAAATTAATAAATATAAAGATATTGCATGATAAATGATGATGATGATAAAAATTATATTTAATTTTAACATATTTATTTTTTTAAATTAAATTTTATAAAAATTTCAAAAAATAATTAGATGGTATTTTCTTCTTGTTGTTCGTGCAATCCATCTAAATTTTTTAATATTTTAGTTATGTAAAAGTATATTTGCTGCCGGACAAGAGTAAACCAGGGAAAAGAAAAACTAAAGTTAAGAAACATACTCTCAATCCAGTATTCGAGGAAATACTCAAGGTACACACATTTTTTGCACATTTTTAGTTTTTCTTGATTAAAAATCAGGAAATTTAAAATTTTGCAAAAATCTTTGCATATTTGAAATGGCATGGTCAAAGGCTTTTCATAAATGTATAATTTTTCATTTTTTGGACAAATTTTTTTTGGCAAACATTTTTACCATATAACTGGATTTTGCGATAAAAAATTCCATTTTTGCAAATTTGCAAATTTTTTAGCAGATTCTAAAAGTAGAGCACAAGAGCTTTCCAATGATGTATCATTTGTAATATTTGGACATCAAACATGGGATTTAGAGGGGGGGGGGGTCAAATTGATCACCCACCCCCAGCATATCCTGGTTTTCAAGTACCCCAGCAGAGATAGGGTTAAATTAGAAACCGCGATCTGAAAAATACGATTATGTAAACACATTGTACATACATTGTACTTATATTGTACCTAACATTGTACTTACAGTGTATTTAGTATTTACAGTGTACTTACATTGTACATACATTGAACATACATTTTAAATTCATTGTACATACATTGTACTCTCAGTTCACACACGTTAAAGTTACATTGTACATACATTTTAAATACATTTTACATACAGTGTACACACATTGTACATAAATTGTACTTACATTGTACTTACATAGTACATACATTTTACATACATTGTACATACATTTTACATACATTGTACATACATTGTACAAACATTGTATATACATTGTACATACATAGTGATTACATTTTATTTACAATCTACTTACATTTTTTTTAAATTGTAGTCACATTGTAGTCACATTGTAGTCACATTGTAGTCACATTGTAGTCACATTGTACTCACATTGTACTCACATTGTACTTACATTGTACTCACATTGTACTTACATTGTACTCACATTGTACTCACATTGTACTCACATTGTACTCACATTGTAGTCACATTGAACTTACATTGTACTTACATTGTATAAATATGAATAATGAGAAATGCTTGTGGTTTTGAAGATGTATGTTCTAACAAACCTTAATCCAATAGTCTGGCCAACCCAATGGCCCAGAATATTCTATCAAATATTATCTTTCTTTACCGGATGCATACTTTCTTAAATAAATATTTTGCTTCCCCCCCCCCCTTTAAACAATTATTTCCCCAGATGTTAGGTATGTTTACTCAGAGAGAAACTTTTTTATGGTTTTATTCTCTTAATTGAGGAAAATAAATAAATTTTCAGGGAAAATAAATAAATTTTCAGGGAAAATAAATAAATTTTCAGGGAAAATAAATAAATTTTCAGGTAAAATAAATAAATATTCAGGGAAAATAGATAAATTTTCAGGGAAAATTAATAAATTTTCAGGGAAAATTAATAAATTTTCAGGGAAAATAAATAAATTTTCAGGGAAAATAAATAAATTTTCAGGGAAAATAATTAAATTTTTAGGGAAAATAAATAAATTTTCAGGGAAAATAAATAAATTTTCAGGGAAAATAAATAAATTTTCAGGGAAAATAAATGTCTGTTTATGTAAACTACTGAAAATTAGTTGAATAGCATGGAAATATACACCGCTATATTCTTATTATAAAACATGTATGCCAAACATGTTTTGCTGGTTCAGATATATTTATTGTTTTTTTTTCTTGACAGTAAGATTTTCTGAAACAGTTTTTTTTATTTTATGATAATTTATCCAATTTTTATTCTATTTTCTAAGGCTTTTCTTTAATATCAAATTTTTTATTATTTTTATGAATTTTTTCTACATCATTCATATGTTTTAGAGGAATAGGTTTTTCACCGTTTTTCAATAATTTTTTTCTCTTAATATTCTCATAAAGAATGATAATTAATTGCGAATTGAAACTTTGTAATTTTTAATATTGACTTTAACAGTAGTGTTTGACGATGGAGGAAAGAATGCAAAAAGTTTAAAATTAAAGAGATCTTAAAATTTAAGATAAATTTGTTACAATCGTCTTTGAATTTTTATTCCGTGTGTGGAACCCTGTAATAAAAACTATTTGTTTTATCAGTTATTCTTACAAATACAATATGTAATGTTATTATTTGTTGGTATTTGTCTCTTCTGATTAACTTCATTACGAGTAAACATATTCACATAATTTGCCTTTATTGTATCTAGGCTTCATACTTGATACCATTCACCACAATTCAAATATAGAGGATTTGTCTTGGTTTATGATCATGTTTATCCAGTTCATGATCATGTTTATCCAGTTAATGATCATGTTTTCCAGTTCATGATCTTGTTTATCCAGTACATGATCATGTTTATCCAGTTCATGATCATATTTATCTAGTTCATGATCATGTTTATCCAGTTCATGATCATGTATAACCAGTTCATAATCATGTTTATCCAGTTCATGATCGTGTATATCCAGTTCATGATCATGTTAATCCAGTTCATGATCATTTTTATCTATCTCATGATCTTGTTTATCCAGTTCATGATCATGTTTATCCAGTTCATGATCTTGTTTATCCAGTTCATGATCATGTTTATCTAGTTCATGGTCATGTTTATCCAGTTCATGATCATGTTTATCCAGTTCATGATCATATTTAGTTAGCTCATGATCTTCTTTATCCAGTTCATGATCATGTTTATCTAGTTCATGATCATTTTTATCCAGTTCATGATCATTTTTATCTAGTTCATGATCAAGTATATCCAGTTCATGATATTTTTATCCAGTTCATGATCCTGTTTATCCAGTTCATGCTCTTGTTTATCTAGTTCTCTAGTTCATGATCATGTTTATCTAGTTAATGATATAATGCTTATTGTTTTTTTAGTTCATGATGCCCTTGGTGGAGGTAGAGAGGAGAACGATGTGGATCTCTGTCTGGCACTCCGACATGTTCGGCAGGAATGATTTCCTTGGCGAGGTAAGTTGAAATAAAATTGAAATTTGTATTGTGGCATCGTTTATTTGATTTTTAACATTTTAAAACCATTCAAACATCGTAGAAGTTTAATTTTTTTTAAAATTGCTCTTAAAGTTTACTTTTATTTTAATACGAAGGGTTTATTTTTAAAATTGGTTTTGCTTAGTTCAGAGTAATGTCGTTTGTCAAAATAAAATTTTGGCACAATTATGTGAATCTAAACTTGAAGGAAATTTTGAATAAAGGCGGACTGTAGATTGAGCTTGAGATCAAATTTTAATCTAGATTTTTTTATCAGTTAGAAAACGATGTCCAACTCTAGTTTAAAATCAACGAAAACCTTTTAAATTTACCAACTTTCTTCTCTGGGTTTATAACTAAACTGGCCAGTCTTGTCCAGTTAACAATCTTTGAGATATCCTTTACGTACTGTTCTCAAATCAATTCGAATTTACTTCGATTTTTATGTATTAATAACATTTTTTTATTTTTTTTTTATTCAATTACTCTTTTTTAACGGATTTGTTTATTTAATTGACAATTCATGAGTGACAATTTCTCTATTCTGATCATCTATTTCCCCTTCTCAGTTTTTTGACGAAGATGTTTTTATTTTTAACGGTTTTATTTCTTAGAATTTATGATTTATTGGTTACTTTTTCTATCAAAAATGAGAGATGATTAGTAACGTATATTTTTAATTTTAAATATGATAAAAAAATATTTTTTTACAAAAATCCCCCCCCAGTCCAATACTTCTTCAAGTTTTGAATGATTTTTAATCTAAACTTCATACTTTTGAATCAAATGGTAAAGCAAAAACAGATTTTTTTTTCCTGGATTCATTTTATTTTTTAATTTCCTATTTATTCAAGTTTTCTGTCTGGGATATTAACATTATTAATATCTTGAATAAAAACACTTTTTGTCATTTTTTCATGAATATGACGCAGGTATTTCTAAGGAAGGCTCCCTGTTTATAATATAATGATAATAATGATAATAATGATAATAATGATAATAATGATAATAATGATAATAATGATAATAATGATAATAATGATAATCAGTTCTCGTCAATATGATATATTGCTCAGTGAAATATTGTTGTTCAAATAGTTCCATTCCCAGATTTTACACTGTATTATGAAATCCATTAAAACTTTAAACCACCCCGCTTATCATTGAAGTACACTTTGACCCCTAGAAGTATAAGTTCGCGGACTGTACAATTCTTCGTGATTTTGCGTACATAAGCTATCTGTTTATTTATTTATCTATGGAATTTACTGACATTGATTCCAATAAAAAAATCAATTTACTCCAAAACAATCGAAATTTTAAAACATTGTATTCCTAAAATATCATAAAATATATTTTAAAATGCTAACTTAAAAACGCATTTTTATGTAGCTGAGGTTTCGTGAATATATTACTATACTTGGTATGAAATTTACGAAAATATACGTATTATAAAGGTTGGCATCAAACTTTTAAACTTAATCAAAAAAATACAACATTTTAAGTAAAGAAAAACCCGATAAAATACGTAAAATATAAACCTAAAAACTTAGAAAATTTACTTGTAAAAAGAATGCTGCAAAAACTTCTTTTATACACAAGCTTGCTCGGCTAGGCTAAGGCTCGCTTGGGTATAAAAGGGTTTGCAACACTCTGTTTGCAACTCAGTATATCCTATATTTGCCATACTACCAGATCATCAATATATATTTTAAAGGTATTTTTTTCTCTTCACTCAGAAATGTTAGGGTTTTTGATAGGTTAAGACAGAGTTCTAGAGTTTTAGATTAGAGAGATTTTGATAAAGTATAAATGTTATTCGAAGAGTTTAGTCAGTAATTTATTGAGGACTAAAAGTTTAGTCAATACATAATTATTCGTAAAAATACGTTTCTGGGAAACCTACGCATTTAAAAAAAACGTTTGGTTTGATTTATGCGTAAAAATATTTATCTATAGGTAAGTTCTTTACCAAAAAGTTGAGTATACGAATTTTTACATAAATATACCTGTGTGAACCATATCCCTCAAATTTCCCCTGTTGTAAAGGTCGTCTCCGACAAACTGTACCTCCGTTGAATATACTTCGTCCACTCACCAAACCAAACCTTGCCAAGGATTTGCATAAACGTAAACAACAGCCGCATGGAGCTAATAAAACTTTAAGTGCATTAAAAGAACCCATTTAAACATAATTTCAGTGAATCATTTGCAATCAAATAGTGAACTTATTTAATCAGACGAATATTTATTTTCAGAAGAATTAAATTTGCTTTATTACAAATCCAGTTTTACTTTAATATTTTTGAATTCTTGGGGCTCCTGGATCCCCCCTTTTTCCCTAGGAGAATTCCAGGGCTCCATAAACCCTGATTTACCCCCCTCAAGGGGAAATCATCTCCCTAACCCCCACCCCAAAAAAACACATTTATATTTTTTAATTTTCAAAATAATTGCCATTTCGTCTCATATTATTTTCTTTCTAATCAAAATTGAATTTAAGTATGTTATTTCCCATTAAAAAAGGCGAAAATAAGATAAGACGTAGGGTAAAGAGGCGAATTCCTCATGATGATTTTGATTTCGGTTTAATTTTGTATCCCGACTTATAAACCTTGTGTCCCAAAATCTGAAAATTTATGCTTTCAATTAAGTTAAACCTTTAGTTGAATTAGTTGAATTTAATGTCTTAATTGTGAGGTTGTTTTACTCTCTTTATAGTTATATCCTCGGGCTTTATATACTTTACTTAACATTGTTTCTGCACAAAATAAACGTTAAAGGGAGTGAAAGCGCTATATCAAGTGACCCTCCACAAGAAGAAGACAATGCCCGATTTGAACGATAACCTTGAAACTTTATTCTCATCAAAACTGTGGGAGATAACGTCGTTTTTCTGACTTAAATAGTCTTTGTTTCTGTGAATTTCTCCATTGTTGGGATATGTTATTTTCCCACGGAGACCCATTTAATATTTCATTTACAGTTCCTTTCCGAAATAATATTCTTTTACTACGTTAATTAACAAATGAAAAAGATTATCTACAACATTTCCATTGATTGACCTTTGATCATCAAAATTGCATTTCTCTTTTTCTGCTTAATATCTACAATTCAAAAATACCTTAATAAAGAGGGTTTAGTCCGAACTTTACACCAAGGTCGTAACCTTTGTGTTGAGTATTGTCAATCTTGACAGCTTCAACTCGATATCTAATGTGGGCACTTGAATTTAAGGATCAATTTTTTTACCTGCAGGGTATGATCATTCTAACTTCTAGAATATTTTGTAAAATTATTATTTCATGTCTTAATAAGAAAATTACCGCCTTCCTTAAACTGTAATCTAACTTGTGTTGGGAATCCTAAAAGGTCCATTTTTTAAACAAGTTTGGTGGCTCCATCAAATACTTAAAGCTTAATTACAAATGACCCTCCGTGTAAAGATAGCAATGCCTGATTTACAGTACCCTTGAACGGCTTGAAACCATTTTCTGTTCAGTAAAATAAAAGTTATTTTCGTTTGCTTTGGTTCAAAATGTTTATTTTATTTTCAAAACTAAAAACATTAATATCATACTAGATCAGACTAAGCTAGTTTTTAAGGATGAAACTGTTAATCGGGGTTTTCCAATTTTGCATGTAAGGTCACTTGAAAATATGTTTACAGTCCCTTTAAAATGGATTTTGTCCCTTTAAAGTGGATTTTTTCGCCAACAACAAATCTAACCAAACTAACATAACACATTTTCAGTTACCTGCTACCGGACCGTGTTGGGAAAAACAAACAAAAAACCAGTATTTGTCGGCGCACCACCTCCCCCCGCTGGGACACCACGATGACATGGGATGACCTTAGTATCAGTGAGGTTGAGGATCGTAGCCTGGAGATCATTCTTTACGATCATGACAGGATGGGCCATCATGAGATGATGGGAGGAATTAGGCTGAACTTAGGAACTGGTAGGTTTATCCACCATACATTATCATATACCCGCCATACATTATCATATACCCGCCATACATTATCATATACCCGCCATACATTATCATATACCCGCCATACATTATCATATACCCGCCATACATGATAATAAATCTGACGAACATTATTATTTATCATCCATGAATTATTATTTATCCGCCATAACCATTCATCTGACATATTTCCTATTCTTAATATTTTTGGTTTTTATTATTATTATTATTGCTATTTCGATCATTATCAATATCACCCGTTAATTACTTTATTAGTTTCTTCTATCTTTCTATTGTCGTTAAATCTTTCTTCTTATTTATTATTTAACATCTTTAACATTTTAATATAAAATTATTGGCATGGCATGAAAATCTGAAGAAATAATTATGATATTTTTTATAAAACATAAGTTAATTTTTGTTTTTCTGTTTAGGTAAGCATGGTGGTAAGGCAGCTTCCTGGATGGATGGAGCAGGACGAGAACTCACTTTATGGCAGCAAATGTTGGATCGTCAGAACTTCTGGGTCGAGGGGAGCGTGCCGGTCAGAACATTCCTAGAACCAGTCAATACCAGGAGTGAGAAACAGTAAAGGAGCTAGAAACAGAAGTTACGGCGTACCAGGAGCTTGAAACAGTAGTTGGATATCAGGAGTGAGGAACAGGAATGATTGGATAACAGGAGTGAGGAACAGAAATAACTGGATATCTGGAGTAAAGACCGAAATGACAAGATACCAGAAGTAAAGAACAGAAATGATAGGATATCAGGAGTGAGAAACAGGGATGATTTTGAATAACAGGAGCTAGAAACATACACAATTGGATATTCAGAGCTAGAAACATAATTTGTTGGAAATCAGGAGCTAAAAACAGCATTTGTTGGATATCAGAATCTAGAAACAGCATTTGTTGGATATCAGGATCTAGAAATAGCATTTGTTGGCTATCAGAGTCTAGAAACAGCATTTGTTGGATATCAGAATCTAGAAACAGCCTTTGTTGGATATTAGTATCTAGAAACAGCATTTGTTGGTTATCAGGATCTAGAAACAGTATTTGTTGGATAGTAGAATCTAGAAACAGCATTTGTTGGATATCAGGATATAGAAACAGTAACATATGAGTTGCTCCACCTGCCATATTACTTCATTTACGAATCTTTCTCCTTTATCGCGTGAGTAAATTCAAGGAAAATATGATCCATTATCATGGTAAAACTATCTAGTATCTATCATATCATAAACACTATACAGTGATCTTCATATCAGGAGAGAAAAAAACATCAAAATTTAAATTTTTAAACAACGGAAATAAAATAACGTGGCATATCTATCTATCTGTGTTTAATTACTTAACTCATTGATGTTAATTAACATAAAATTTCGCTTAACCGTTAATTATAAAATATATTTTATACCCCATGTGCCAACAATACTGAAATTTGCATATTTCTCTAGTCCTCTGTATGTACTTTATGAACTATGTATAATATATATTTTCATGTGATACATTCTTCTCATGTACAGTGTACAGTCAATACATGTGTGCAATGTACAGTGTAAATAATAAATGTTGAATTTATGTTTTCTGTGTTTGATCGTAAACGAGAACTTAAGAATATTATTTAAACTGTAGTTACAAAATAGAATGTCAGGGGTGTCAAGTCAAATAAGCTAAAATCTCCTATTTCGAATTTTAAAAGCAATACATGCTTAGTGTACAATAATGAATATATTTCTTTCAATCATTTTTGAAAAAAGTGTGCTGGCAAAAGTGTCTGTTTGTTCGAGTTTCACGAATGATATTCAATGTCTTATACAGGAGGGGGGGGCTAGGAAGCAGTGCCCTTCCCTAGACCTGCAAAGGGGGGGGGGGGGCTATAATTCAGAGCTTTCACACTTATCAAATCTTAAACTGAAGAGTGAAGAACATAAACAAAAATTATTTTGCTGTTTATTCAGGGCACTAAGAAAATTGTATACGTGTACTACAGCTTCCAAGACAGAAGTCCGAATGAAAAATCAATCTAGAATTCACTTCCATCCTAATCGGATTAGGGCTATCAGGGATAGCGAAGAAAACCAATTATTTTTAAATGCCAAGCCACGAAGGCTTGAGTTTGGAGGTAGTAAAAGACCATTTTTTTAAATTTAGATTTAATTTTGTATTCTTTCTTTTATTACAAACTATATGAAGTTCCCAGCGTTGCCCGTGGAATCGAATAAAAAGAAAAAACTTATAATTTATTTAGCTTATGTCATCCCCAAGGGTATCCATGAGTTTCCTCACTAGAGTTCAGCCTTTTTCAAGCCATAATTATTATCTGGATCTTTGTCCTTTTTCATCTCAAAGAATTTAAGTAAAGTTAAGTTTTTCATTTTCAAAATTTTTTTTTACAATCTTAAGTTTAAATACTAACTATCACTAATATAACAGTTAAGTAAAATGTCAATTTTTTAGAAATAATGCCTTTTTTCTGCTAGTTCTGTTTGAAGGAGAGATAAAGTATAGCAGTTGCAATGTAATTGGACTGTATGTGCACCTTTAAAGTATCTTATACTTATGTCTGATATCAAAAGAAACCAAATGTTTTGAATATACAGTTAAAATTTTGCCATCCCTCTAGATTTATTTCTGTATACGCCCTTAGCGATATTATCTAATTTTTAATTTGACATTTTGTGCTTGACTGACAAGTTGGCCAAGAAATTGATCAGAGGAACAAGTATTGAGTTGAGGTAAACAATGGATAACCTAAACTGGTATTAAAATAGTCGCAATAAAGAATTTCTTATCGATTTAATTTAAACATTTATGATCAAATGGTTTACGGTACTTTCCCAAAGGATTTTTCTCAATTAGCAACTTCCCACATGTGTAATTTTACAAGCAGTAAATTCCCAAAGGTTAGGTTAGGACCTCTCAGGCTGCAAAGGGGACCGAGGCGCTGCGGCTCGAATAGGCTCGGGGGNGTTATATAATTTTAAAAATTCAAAACGAAACTAGAAATCGATAGTTTTTCCGATAGTTTTTAAAAACAATGAACATCCCTAAATAAAGGGTTGCCTACAAAAGATGAGATTTTAAAGACGACTTGCAGCTCCCTAAATATGGCAATTCCAAGGTTAAATTAAGTGGGAGTGTTTTAGGTAACCTTAATTGACAAGTCCTTCAGTGGCTTCTTTGGTATTTTTCTTGCCTGGTTTATTAGATCCATAATCTACCAGATTCTTAATTCAATATAGAACTGGGATGTATATGTATTGCAGTAACCCGTCCATAGGCTGATGATGAAGAAGTCTTCTAAGGCCAACACAAAAGTAGAACCTAACCATTTAAAAGAATAGGCTTACGTCGAAAAACATTCGATGGTAATTGCTATTGATCTTACTTCTTTCTGTTGCGTCAATAAGGAGAAAATTGTTAAAGACGACTCATACTGAAGAACATAGCGTCCATACAAATTCAGAAAGTTGAAATTCGTAAAAAAAATATTCAATTCCTAACAAATAATTCAGATATTACAATGTATTATCATCGATATTTTTTCGACGCATTCATAAAAATAAAGAATATTATGAAATATCAACTTTATACGAAAGCGTCGAAAAAAATCGATGATGATGGTTCTAATATCTAAATGATTTGTTTGGAATTAAATTGATTTTTTTGCGATCCGAGTAAAATATTGCAATTTTCTGAATTTGTATGGATGGACACTTTAACGTTCTTTGGTATGCAGACTATAGAGCCGCTTTTAACAATTTTCTCCACATAAACGCAACAGATAGAAGTAAGATTAGTAGCAATCACCATCGAGTATTTTTCGACGTAAGCTTATACCCCCTTTGATTTTTCGCGAACAACACTCCCTGTAACTGCCTCATCTAATGTCTTTTTATAATATTTTCATGATTGGAAAAAGGAAGTAATTAGAAAGGAACACGTTTATAGTTGCATGGAATCATAATCATAAGGAAACAGACAGTACACTTTCCGTACAGTCACGCCTTTGAACAGACAGTACACTTTCCGTACAGTCACGTCTATGAACAGACAGTACATTTTCCGTACAGTCACGTCTTTGAACAGACAGTACATTTTCCGTACAGTCACGTCTTTGAACAAGTACATTTTCCGTACAGTCACGTATTTGAACAGACAGTACATTTTCCGTACAACTGCAGTCACGTCTTTGAAGTCTTATCTTTTGTGGGTAACCCTGTATTTCATCCAAAAACTTTGCAGTTAAATAAAGCTACGAACTCTCACGATTAAGAAGTGACTGGTTTATTGGAACACCCTGGTCTTCCAGGTTTGAAGATATGCGTATTCTAAACATCTAATTGTTTGGTCTGTTAGCTCTGTTCTTTAGTTTATTTTAATGAGATGTAAAACTGAAATTTCAGAAGTCGTCTTCCTAGTTATTATGCAAAACATCTAGAAAGACGACTTTAGACTTTTCTGAAAGTTATTTTCTTTAATACGTTTCTTTCGTTGCAACTTTAAAATTATCTTATTTTTTACAAAAGTATTTACCGGTGTCCGAATTTAATGAATTTATGCCGAGTCTCAAATCTGCTAAAACTGGGTTCAATTGAGCGCTGGCTTAAATATTGAAAAATTGAATACAATTTTAAGTGGAACCAACCATATTTGAGCGCCGGCTTAAATTAAAACCTCGGCTTAAATTCTTTAAATTCGGCCTCGGAAACCTAAAAATACGTATAACATTCGTATATATACGTATTTTTAGGTTTGGAATAAAAATGCGTATTTTCCATACGTTTGACATACGTATTTTCGTAACCATTTCCTTGGTAAAAATACGTATTTTGTATCCGTAAAAGTACGTTTATGAAAAACGTAAAAATGCGTAAGGAAAAATCCTAAAATATCCAATTAATCAGAGATTTTTATGGTTTTCTTATGCGTAAAAATATGTATTTTTAAGGCATATTCAAGCTCTAAAACCAAAAAGTTAAGAAGGTCATGAATATGATTACGCATGCACATTCAATTCAATTCAATACTCGTCTACACAAATTATTCACACCATCATCTTTCGTTCATCTGTATCCATCTAAATCAACATTCAGCATACACTGATCAAGTGTATAACTTCTATTTATCAAGAATCGAGAATTTACCATAGATAAAGATAGATTGCGCATAAGACGACATTTTTCATCTTGAAAGATATAAATGTACAGAGATGTTTTAAGATATTCCTATTATATAGATTACCTAGGTCGGTTGTGAACATTGGCTGTTCTTATGTCATTGAGTACTTGTGGCGTACATGAGTTCTGTAGAATGAAATTTAAGTTAGTTTAGTCCTTCTCATGTCCTTCGTCAGTTCTCGTCAATATGATATATTGCTCAGTGAAATATTGTTGTTCAAATAGTTCCATTCCCAGATTTTACACTGTATTATGAAATCCATTAAAACTTTAAACCACCCCGCTTATCATTGAAGTACACTTTGACCCCTAGAAGTATAAGTTCGCGGACTGTACAATTCTTCGTGATTTTGCGTACATAAGCTATCTGTTTATTTATTTATCTATGGAATTTACTGACATTGATTCCAATAAAAAAATCAATTTACTCCAAAACAATCGAAATTTTAAAACATTGTATTCCTAAAATATCATAAAATATATTTTAAAATGCTAACTTAAAAACGCATTTTTATGTAGCTGAGGTTTCGTGAATATATTACTATACTTGGTATGAAATTTACGAAAATATACGTATTATAAAGGTTGGCATCAAACTTTTAAACTTAATCAAAAAAATACAACATTTTAAGTAAAGAAAAACCCGATAAAATACGTAAAATATAAACCTAAAAACTTAGAAAATTTACTTGTAAAAAGAATGCTGCAAAAACTTCTTTTATACACAAGCTTGCTCGGCTAGGCTAAGGCTCGCTTGGGTATAAAAGGGTTTGCAACACTCTGTTTGCAACTCAGTATATCCTATATTTGCCATACTACCAGATCATCAATATATATTTTAAAGGTATTTTTTTCTCTTCACTCAGAAATGTTAGGGTTTTTGATAGGTTAAGACAGAGTTCTAGAGTTTTAGATTAGAGAGATTTTGATAAAGTATAAATGTTATTCGAAGAGTTTAGTCAGTAATTTATTGAGGACTAAAAGTTTAGTCAATACATAATTATTCGTAAAAATACGTTTCTGGGAAACCTACGCATTTAAAAAAAACGTTTGGTTTGATTTATGCGTAAAAATATTTATCTATAGGTAAGTTCTTTACCAAAAAGTTGAGTATACGAATTTTTACATAAATATACCTGTGTGAACCATATCCCTCAAATTTCCCCTGTTGTAAAGGTCGTCTCCGACAAACTGTACCTCCGTTGAATATACTTCGTCCACTCACCAAACCAAACCTTGCCAAGGATTTGCATAAACGTAAACAACAGCCGCATGGAGCTAATAAAACTTTAAGTGCATTAAAAGAACCCATTTAAACATAATTTCAGTGAATCATTTGCAATCAAATAGTGAACTTACTTAATCAGACGAATATTTATTTTCAGAAGAATTAAATTTGCTTTAGACTTCAGTACAAACAACTTTTGACCCAACACAGTTTTCTAGATTGTAAGTTCCATTCACAACAGTACCTTTTATTAATCAATTCACAACAATGCCTTTAAACCCGTTATTTATTGATTTACAACAGCAAAAAATATGATCCCCAATCCTGCTAAACCTACTAAACCTAAAACCTCCAATCCTACTAAACCTACAAAACCTAGAATTCCAATACTCATTTATTGATAATAAAAAAACCTTCAACTGTTTAATCTTTATTAACAATTATTATTTATATGCATGTACGTCAATAACAATTTGTATTTTGTAGGAAACCTCGTTACTGAAATATACATTTTCAAGAAGTTCTCATCTATCTGTGTGTGGTTGGAAAGAGTGTTTTCCTTGCCAACTCGCCTTATTTTCCCTCTTTCGAGTGTTATTCCTTTTGTTCGGTTCACAACCTGATAATACATATATCTATATACAGGCTTTAGTATTTAAAGGTTTTCGGTTCGGGTTAGATAGGGGTGTAAAAGCTGTTAAAATGCAGGAAACATTTAATGAAAAATTTGAAATTTGAGTCTTTCTTTTTAAATATACTGGTATACACTGGTGAGGATGAAACACAATAATTACATCGTTGATCCATATCCTTTAATACACTTGCTAAATTTAATTTTTAATGAGTACATACATATATTTCATAAAATTCTGAACATACAAATTTTGAGACAAAATAGAAAATCATAGATATTAAATTCGTATTGTATGATTAGAAGTATGACAAATAAATGATAGAACTTGAGATTTGATTTCAATCAGACTCAGTTTCTTAATTTTGTACAATTTATATCAATAATAATATTGTTTTATTCTTAGACTTCCCTCTGTCTAACACTTTATATATGCTTGGCAGCTTGCTATAAAAAAATCTTTTTTAAAAAATTGCATTAAAAAATTTAAATCCGAAAAAATTGATTTTACTTTCTAACTAAAATTTAAATAAATTGTACAAATTTCATCAGAGCTCAAGTTCTTTAAAAGTTTTTGGTCATAAAGAAATTGCATTTTTTTTGCTTTTTCATATAACAAAGTATTCATATACAGACATGCATTACGCAAAGCAGACGACATCAATTTTCGATTTTCTGGAATTTTTGTGAATGCTAAACAAAAAATAAGTTTCTTCATGTTTATAGTTTGTCATTTTCTTCTTCCAACGCCTTTTCCTCTTCAATTTTCAATTCCTAAATTATTTTTCAAAAGTATTAAAAAGCAATATTATTTTGATTTTATGTTTTATCTATATTATTCTATATTAACTTTTCCCAGTTATTTATCTTCTTTTACAGACTGTAGAGCACTAAATATATTCTTTGGTCGTAAATCAAATGAGTTGGTGATCAAAGAAACCAGTTTAATGCTGCAGGAAACCATCAAATTTCAGAAAAGAGACTGAGTAAATTAAGTCTCATCCTGTATAGTTTATACCTTCAGTGTCATTTCTTCAAGTTCCTTTTTACTGAGATGTGCAACAATGCCAGCTCCTATAGTGTCTCCAAGTACATTTATAGCCGTGCGAAACCTGGAGAAAATAATATAAAATTTATATAAATAATGTAGGACTAGGAGTTCACAAATTTTCAAATTAGGAAGAAAATGGGGAAAACTATTAAACCCTTAAAAATGCTGCAAGTTCCTATATGCTATGGCTTTTCTAAGAAGCATCTTAAGGGCCGACCAAACAGGGTTACCCCGCTGTAAAAAATGGTTGAAAGGGAGATTCCGGCTAGCAAATGTAGTTGAACCGAGAGCGAGAGAAACATTTTAGGATTCATTTGATACAAATAAGATGTTTTTACACCGCATTATTTCTAAGTAAGAGAGTATAATTCGTTTGTAAAATCTCACCCGAGGGAATGGTTACGCAGAAGAAACGTTTTTGAACAATTATTTAATGAAAAGCGTAAAAAATATCATTAATAAACTTAGAAATTAAATAGAAATTTAAAAATCAAGCTTAAAACTTTTATAGAAATTTAAAAATCAAGCTTAAAAATTAAATGGTATTACCTATCCAGCAACCAATCAAGGGATAGAATTATGGATATGGATTCAGATGGAAGACCAACTGTATCCAGAACCATAACCATGGTTACCAATCCAGCCTGAATTAAACAGCAATACTAAAATGATTATTTCTCTTTTTATTTGGTTTGGACTAACTGGACTTATGGAATTTTAGCAGATTGTATTCTTCTTCTTCTTCTTCATGTTACGCCTTATCAAAAACATTGAAGGCAAAGGCTTGTTGTCGATCAAATTTAAAGAATAGCATTTAAAGATATTTTTTTAATCAACCAATAAAAATCGAAAAATCGGAAACTGTAGGGAAAACTGCTTCTAAATTACCTGGGGTATTCCTGCAGCACCAATACTAGCACAGGTTGCTGTTATAGAGATTGCAATTATCTAAATATAAATATTATACCCACAGGGACTTAATTTTACTTTATCTTATTTCAGAGTTTAAACATTTTGATTGATTGATTGATGAAAAGATGTTTTCTATATAGGTCTTAACTGTTTCTATCACTTATAAGTGTTAAGACATTTTTTATTTTAATATCTGTTTAATGACTTCTTTTGAATATTTTATTTGATTAGTTTAATAAAAATGTTTGAATTTTTTTTTTACTCGCAATGGGCTTTTAAGAAAGTATCAATAACAAAACAAACCAAAAAAACATTTGATGAACGCCCTGATTCACTCTAACGACAGCTACAATGCAATGTTAAAATTTGACGGAAATAATTTTATGAAACTATTTTAGATAATACTTTGTCCCTCGCTAAACCTCGGGACAAAATTAAATCTAAATTGAACCTTCTCGATAAAGAGAAAATTTCTGTTTAACACTGCGAACCAAAATAATATCATTATAAATAGGTAATTATATTATTTTTATTGAATTTGTCATGAAATTAAATAAATTTATTGAACACCACCCTGACAAACGTCTTGTAGTTTAGATTCCCTTATTATAATTTTTCAAATTCATTAGTTTCATGAAAAAAAGTTAGAAAAAGTTAAAGGAAGGATAACTAATCGTTTTAAGTTAAATAAACCTAAAGATGGTCTTTGGTCTTGATGGAGTATGGTTAACATAAATCAAAATAAGATTAACAACTATTAAAGGGAAATTCTAAAAACTCCAATAAATGACTATAACAGGCAGTACCTGGCCTATGCTGGGAAAGATACCGTTCATCTGCGCAATAAAAATTGCCGCAACAGCTTCATAAAGAGCAGTCCCGTCCATGTTGATAGTTGCACCAATAGGCAATACAAATCTGAAAATATTAAAATATTAAGATAAAAATAAACATTACTTAAAGTTTTTACTACGTTAAATATTTCTATATATATCATTTTTAAGAACCTGCACTTAACATTTGTAAGCATGTATTATTAATGTAATTAGTGTAATATTGAAAATTAACAATTACAAATTAAGACATTTTTAGTTAAAAAATAGAAAATAAGACAACTATCATTTCACAGTTTTCTTGTCACATCTTTAATACCTACTAATACGCGGGTCAACCCCATTCTTGTCCTCAAGTGCGTTCATGGTGACTGGCAGAGTAGCTGAGCTAGAAGCTGTGCCAAACGCCGTCACATAAACATTTGCCATATTTGCCAGGAATCTAAACATTTGGCAAAACGAATTGATTGTTTTCAAATGAACAAGACAATATGAGCCTTTTAAAATAAACTGAACAGGAAAACGCCGATTTATTACATAACATAACATAGTATAATATAAGATAATATAGTATAATATGATATAGAATAAAAAAATATCTATATTATTTATAATTCCTTGCAATATCAGTTAAAAATGAAATTTCCAAAAAAGGAAAAGAAAGAAAAGACTAAAATAAAGTGCTGCTTTTTCATGATTAACAAATATGATAGGATGCGGTTACATTTATACAAATAATTATACACCCTAAGAAAAGTAATAAATATATTTAGGTAGTTTTAAACTTGTTAAAAATGAAAAAGCGTTTAAAATATGAAATAATTAAAAAATCATGCATTTGTTACATTTTTGATTAAATTAACCTGAATGGTAGGGATCGAGTGCATATTATATAGATGAGAGGTAGTGTGATGAATGCTAGAAAATACAAACAATTATTAATTAAAATATTAATAACCAACAAATTCAAAATGACTTAAGTTTAAAGTAGACAAGTGATGCATTGTGTTCATTAAAAAGAACAAACAAGTTTTTTAATTGAATAACAATATGGAACTCTTTAAAACTGTTCTCGCATATTTCATTAACTATTTTTTTTGCAATTACTAATTCTTTCGTTATATTCGAAGTTATGGGTTAACCTTTGTAGATTTGAACTTAGTTATCATGCATAAAAACAACATCTCTAGTTTATCTATTATTTGTACCGTGAATACATAATCCTAGCATGACAGTTCCAAAATACCAGCCAAGCTTACCAAACTCTTCAGCAATATTCTAAACATGAAAGGGATAAATAAATGAGATTTAGAAAAGAAAAATCAAGATAATTTGAAGTATGAATATGATGAACTAAAATAATTAAATAAATGGGGGGTAAGGGATCAATATTGAAATGAATCAATGATCAAACGATTTTTAAGAAAAAATATCAAAATAAAGGAAAATTTCAATTTATGAGGATGAATATTAACACAATTGATAAATAAATGTAGGTATATGGAACAAAAAAAGATTAAAAAAGTTCTAGAAAAATTATATTAAAGTTATATCGAATGAGAGAGAAGAGTGAGTTTGAACAATTAATAATAATGGATAAATCATAATATAAATGAAAATGAAGGATGGATGACTAATCCTATATAGGAGGGTGAATGAATGACGAAGGACAAATAATATAAATGAAAATAAATAAATAAATGATGGAGAATGAACAAGTCATAATATAAATGAAAATGAATATATAAATAATGAAGGATGAACAAATAAATGAAAATGAATTGATGAATGATGAAGGATAAATAAATCATAATATAAATTAAAACGAATGGATGAATGATGAAGGATAAATAAATCATAATATAAATAAAAATGAATGGATAAATGATGAAGGATGAATAAATCATAATATAAATGAAAATGAATGGGTAAATGATGAAGGATAAATAAATCAAAATATAAATAAAAATGAAGGAAAGAATGAATAAAAAAGAATTAATATATAAATGGTAATGAATAGATGAAGAATGAAGGATGAATAAATCATAATATAAATGGTAACGTATGGATAAATAATAAAGGATAAATAAATCAAAATATAAATGAAAATGAATGGATAAATGATGAAGGATGAATAAATCATAATATAAGTGAAAATGAATGGATAAATGGTGAAGGATGAATAAATCATTAAATATATCAATAATTACATCCATCTCCAGTATCTGACTGGCTATAAGGAAAAGAACTCCTATTGGTGCTAGATGGATTATCCACGTTGTAACCTGGAAACCAATGATTCACAAAGGTTAATAAGTACACCATGGAGTTCAAGAAATAACTTTAAAATCTGAACAACAAGAAAAATAAGATAATTTGTGAACAATTTCCTTCATCATGACAACACTAACACTCTCCACAAACCTAGATATAAAAATATTAGTTTAGGAATCTAACCAAATATTAAGTTTATATTAAGTTTATTCTTTTGGACTGAACATTTAGAGATATCATTAACAATTTTTTCCTTTAAACAGTTAGAAATTGCATCTTTACTGAGTATTTTAAATACTTTTTCTACCTCAGCAACGGTATCCCCTCCTCTTCTGATAATGATATAGCTATCCCTGTCACAATTGAGAAAACAACTAAAATAGAAAAAACATGGTTACGAGTAATATATAATAATGATAATGACAATAATAATAAATATATGGGCCGGTTATACATAATCTTATTTAGTTTATTGATTATAAATAAAATATGTTCACATATAAAAGACATTTTTTTCTTTCTAAATTGTAGAGAATAGATTTCTAGTATAAAATAATTATAATATTAATTGATAATAAAAATATGTTTTAAATCAACTAATTATTCCCCCCCCCCTGGCGCTGCCTATAGTTGTGTAATTACTAACCCAGACAAATCTCATCTTTTGAGTTCTTTCCACAAACTCAAATTTGCCAATCGCAATATCTTTGCAACCTGATTGTGCAAACCTTTGATATGTTAAACTTAGATCTGACAGTATTCATAGTTTGAAATAAAGGTCTACGAAAGAAATATGGATTAGAAAAGCAGAGTTTGTTACAAGAAAATAAAAAGTATAAACTTACCGAGTCCTAGAATATTTGTAGAATTTGTCCAGTTGCTTGTAACTTTCCACGTGTTTTTATCATCAGGATCCTCTCCAGTTATATTATTCTAGATTTATGAAAAATAAATATAGAATACATAAATAAAAAGCCAAAAATACATTCCAGGTTTTCTTAAAGCTGTACAATCTATTATATCAATTATTGTATTTATTAAAGTATTTTTCAGGGAATAAGGTCAAATTCAATATTCAGATTATCAGGTAATAAAGGAATTGAGTCTTGGTTACAAACTCAGATTTGCTAAACCTTATTTCATTGTAACCTTATGCCCATCGGAGACCTTAGATATTTCAATCAATACATTCTGCCAAATCAAATAATATAAGTTTTAAATATCAAAAGTTACACCACCAGGTTGCAAAGATATATGGATTAGAAACTTTGAGTTTGTGGCAAAGACTCAATTGATGAATTGAATAAAAAATAGAATGAAATAGCTATACTTACAAATTCTTCCCCTGGATATATAATAGATGTCTGATATTGTTGCAGGTTAGCTTGGATTATATTGGGAGGAAAACAATTTCTAAAAATAGCAAAGTTAAGATCATGAAAAAATGAATAAAAGCTTTATTTTGATGTACAAATTATGTATATTAAAATGCAAATTACGGTTACAGGAAAGGATGTTAATAGATAAAGATTGTAAAAAAATTTCATAATTGTCTACAAAAGGAATTTTCGCAACTATTCTTATAAGATATTTTCAACAATTTCGGAAGAGTCAAAGAGAGATTTTTTTATGAAAAATAATTTGTTTTCGTTTTCCAACCTTATTAGGTCCATTAAAGTATCCGCAGTTGTTACATTCCGCTGAACCTTCTCACCTTCCTAATAAAATAATGATTATTCGCAAATTGGGTATTTTTAGCATCATATTTTATTTCACTGTGTACGTTGTAGGGTTTCCAGCGAAAAGTAAAAATCGTTTCGCGTAAATTTCGGGAAAATTTATTTTATCGCGACCATTTCGCTTCATTTTCGTATTTTGTTCGCTCCCTAAAAATGCAAAAAGTTTCGTTTTTTTTCGCAAAATTTCGCTTCCATCTGTTTCGCGAAATTAAGCGAAAAAATAATGGGGAAAAATGCGAAAATTTCGCCAAAAATAAAAAAATTTTAAAAACAAATGCAAAATCTTAGCGAAAAAGTTGCGAAAATTCATCCAAAAAGACTAAGTTTCCCTATAGTATTCTCCGGAAATGTAATAACTAAATTTAAAGGAATTGAGTCTTTGCCACAAACTCTGATTTTCTAATTACTATATCTTTGGAACCAAATGTTGTAGACCTAAGTTATTTCAAACTATGAATTCTGTTAGATCAAATAATCTGAGTTTGAAATATCAAAGGTTTGCAACATCGGGTTCTAAAGACATTGAGGTTTAAATATTTGAATTTGTTCCGAAGACTCAATTCCTTTGTTTCCTTCTCCAAAAAGTTCCGGATGCACATCACATAGATTTACGTAAGGGGGAATTGGGAATTTAAAAAAATAAAGGAATCTACATCATTTCACAGATTCATAGAAAAATTATAGAAATTCTAAATTCTGAAATAAAAACTAAATAAATTTTCTCCAAACAGTTAAATCAGATTTACAGTTAACTACTTATCTAATATTTTCAGGTTAGTTATAAATATTTTCAGGCTATAGTTATAAATATTTTCAG